AAAGTCATTCTAGATTGAAAACATGTTTGCATCCTTCAGATGGACTTGATTTGAAACTTTCAATTATATTTAGTCTTTTATGGCTTCCATTGGAGAAAATAACTTCATTTGCAGACTAAACAAAACTACTGTTACAGTCATAGCTGGGTGCTGTCAGTACAACCATCATCATGCTGCACACGGGGAGTGAGGAGCTTCAGCCCTCTTACGGGAGCTAACTGGGGGCATGTAGTAAATTGTCTCAGTTCTTCTGGCTTTTGTAGACCCACACCTTGCTTCTGCCTTGTGGATTAACAGTTGTACCTTGAGCCAGAGGTCTGGGCACTGGGCTACGTGGAAGTGCTTTTGTGAAAGAGGCAAACTAGTGTCATGGCACTCAAGTGAGAACGCATGGAAAGCACGTCTTCATGGAAGATTGCAGGTTTCAGGTATTCACAAATACTTCTAGGGGTCTTTCTGAAAATGAAGTGTTTCTAAAGATAAATTGGTATTACGCTGTTAATAAAGCCTAGGGAAATAAAGCTGTGACGGCCCAAACAGGTGGAGAAAAACTTCAGGTTCCTGTGAAAGATGGTACAAAATTTTCCTGTTTTTCTTTATTAAAAAAAAAAATACACCTCAACACTTACTACTTCAGCCTTAAAACTTAAAATTAAGACGGTAATGTGCTGTAACTTGTGGTGACTGTACTTCTTTTTTTTTTTTTTTTTTTAACATAAATCATGAAAAAGACCAGTTAAGAATGTCTATGTGTCAGTGGTCAAGGTGAGTTCTATGATTCAAAAAATCCTTTTGCATTTGAAGGGGTGGGGAAAAAAGAAATGTAAAAAATGGCTTTTTAAAGGCTAGGTTTTGGGGGGAAACTCAGTTACAAGAGATAGGGAAAAGGCGGAGGTGCTTAATGCCTTCTTTGCCTCAGTCTTTAGCGGCAATACCGGTTGTTCTCTGGATACCCAGTACCCTGAGCTGGTGGAAGGGGATGGAGAGCAGGACGTGGCCCTCACTATCCACAAAGAACTGGTTGGTGACCTGGTACGGCACTTGGATGTGCACAAGTCAATGGGGCCAGATGGGATCCACCCAAGGGTACTGAGAGAACTGGCAGAGGAGCTGGCCAAGCCCCTATCCATCATTTATCAAGAGTCCTGGCTATCAGGGGAGGTCCCAGTTGACTGGTGGCTAGCAAACGTGACGCCCATCTACAAGAAGGGCCGGAGGGCAGACCTGGGAAACTACAGGCCTGTCAGTTTGACCTCAGTTCCAGGGAAGCTCATGGAGCAGATCCTCTTGAGTCATCATACAGCACTTGTAGGGCAAGCAGGAGATCAGGCCCAGTCAGCATGGGTTTATGAAAGGCAGGTCCTGCTTGACGAACCTGATCTCCTTCTATGACAAAGTGACGCGCTGGGTGGACGAGGGAAAGGCTGTGGATGTGGTCTACCTTGACTTCAGCAAGGCTTTTGACACCGTCTCCCACAGCATTCTCCTCAAGAAACTGGCTGCTCTTGACTTCGACTGGCACACACTTCGTTGGGTTAGAAACTGGCTGGATAGCTGGGCCCAAAGAGTCATGGTGAATGGAGTCAAGTCCAGTTGGAGGCCAGTCACTAGTGGCGTCCCCCAGGGCTCGGTGCTGGGGCCGGTCCTCTTTAATATCTTCATCGATGATCTGGACGAGGGCATTGAGTGCACCCTCAATAAGTTTGCAGATGACACCAAGTTAGGTGCGTGTGTCGATCTGCTCGAGGGTAGGAAGGCTCTGCAGGAGGATCTGGATAGGCTGCACCGATGGGCTGAGGTCAACTGCATGAAGTTCAACAAGGCCAAGTGCCGGGTCCTGCACCTGGGGCACAATAAACCCAAGCAGCGCTACAGGCGGGGAGATGAGTGGTTGGAAAGCTGCCAGGCAGAGAAGGACCTGGGAGTACTGGTTGATAGTCAGCTGAATATGAGCGAGCATTGTGCTCAGGTGGCCAAGAAGGCCAATGGCATCCTGGCTTGCATCAGAAAGAGTGTGACAAGCAGGGCTAGGGAGGTGATCGTCCCCCATACTCAGCTCTGGTGAGGCTGCACCTCGAGTACTGTGTTCAGTTTTGGGCCCCTTGCTACAAGAAGGACATCGAGGTGCTTGAGCGGGTCCAGAGAAGGGCGACGAAGCTGGTGAGGGGCCTGGAGAACAAGTCCTACGAGGAGCAGCTGAGGGAGCTGGGCTTGTTCAGCCTAGAGAAGAGGAGGCTCAGGGGCGACCTTATTGCTCTCTACAGGTACCTTAAAGGATTATGTAGAGAGGTGGGGATTGGTCTATTCTCCCACGTGCCTGGTGACAGGACGAGGGGGAATGGGCTTAAGTTGCGCCAGGGGAGTTTTAGGTTAGATGTTAGGAAGAACTTCTTTACCGAAAGGGTTGTTAGACACTGGAACAGGCTGCCCAGGGAAGTGGTGGAGTCACCATCCCTGGAAGTCTTTAAAAGACGTTTAGATGTAGAGCTTAGGGATATGGTTTAGTGGGGACTGTTAGCGTTGGGTCAGAGGTTGGACTCGATGATCTTGAGGTCTCTTCCAACCTAGAAATTCTGTGATTCTGTGATTCTGTTTTTCTGCGGACAGAATAAGTGTAAAACTATTTCATAGGTAGGTTTTTTAATCCAGTGTTAACAATGTTTGGTGTATAAAACAAGTCTTTGAGGTTTAGAAATATGACTATATTATCCAGAGCATTGTTTAATATATGGGCCCCTAATTATCCAACATGTCAGTAACTAGGAATGCTTGCTTCCCAGAGTACAGCCTTGTTTGGGGTTGTTCAGTTTCTGTTGTTAGGTGTTTTGTTGTTTGTTTGTTTGTTTTTGGTGGTTTCTTTTGATTAGGAGATTTTGCTTAAATGCTCACTTCATATTTTTAACGTTGTGGTGTAAATAAATTCTTTTTTTTTTTTTTTCAAAGGTCTGTTGTGTGACATTTGCATATCAGTGCTGCATTGTTGTGCAGTTTTGTAGCATGAAATGTAGCGTGTTTCATTTTGAATGGTAAAAATCAAAAATGTTTTTGTTGCTTTATTTTAGTATTTACATTTGGTCAGTTTTCACAATAGCATATTGATGTGTCAGTCTGTTCAGGCTGCTTAAAAGTTTGCAAGATATTACCTAATGCTGTTCTAAAATTACCTGTAGCGTTGCAGGCATCCTAGACTTTAACAATCATCATTTGCGTCCCTATTACAGTATGACACTTATTACATTCAACCTGGCATCGGTTTGGTGGCGTTCCCTGTTCAAAACCGTGACGCCTGGCTCTTTTTGTGCTGCTGGGAGCACAAGTAGCAGGGATGGGAATGCATCTGCCTCCCCAGCCCTAGGGCTGTGCAGCCCCATGCTGCTCCCACAGCAATGTGGGGCCAGGGGGTGATGCCATGGCCCCATACCTGGCAGATCTGCACCCCAGTGAGCATGGGGAGCTTCTCTCACAAGCTGGTGTTTGTGAGAGAGGAGAGGGCGGGATGATCGCCATGCAAGCTGTCACTGTGTGTCCAGAGGTTTCTTGTGCCTTTTTTTTTTTTTTTTGCTGTTTCTTCAATCATCAAGATTTTTTTAGTGCAGTACACAGTTTTTTGCTAGTGCTAGGAAAATGCCTTCACTACAGGACCAGTGATCTCTGACACGTTAAATGTGGGTTGTTCTAACGTTAGGTTTTGTTGCGAATGCTGCAGAGAGGGGAAGAGCCTTGCTTTACCATTTTAATGAAAGCTGCTTCCCTTTGGGAGGCTTTATTATTAAATATAGTTGATAATTTGCTGGAAACAAGCTCTGGATAAGCAATGGGTAAATAGTCGTCCTTCCAGAGATAACAAGGGTTTGCAATTAATTTTATTTTTTTAGACGTGACAGGTTTTAGAGAAGGCAATGTGCTAAATTGATCTTCTATTACTGTAGTGCTGCTGGGGCTCAGCATGGCCCATTTTAGTTACTATGAGAATATTTTCCATGTCGATGCTTAGACAAATCCTTCCTCCACTAAGTGGGTTGATAAACGGTTGTGTTCTGCTGCAGGTTTTGTTTTCTGAGGCACTGAGGCTGCTTTACCTAGCGACTAGAGATTAATCCCTTCCTCGCTTAGATGTTAACAAAACTGTGCTCATGGGAGGAGCACAAACCCCGAAGTGCAGTGGGCAGGCAGTCTGATGGCTTGAACGCAGGATGGCAATTGTGGCGGACACAGCGTGTGGGAACGCATTTATTTGCAGGAAGGATTCCCACCTTCTCCTTGCCGATGATGTCACCTCGCAGCCCATTGGTTCTGCCGGCACCTAGTGCAGGGAAGGCAGAGAAAGATGCCGGCACAAACCTCAGCGGAGGATGTAGGGTGTTTGCGAGCAGGTTCCCATTACATCTTCGCTTAGGGTTGAGAATTCACTGCGTTGCGGCCATGTGAAGTGCTGGGTCTGTCCTAGAGCAAGGGGATTTAAGAGCTATCAGAGGAATGAGGCGGCTGATTTGCAAGCGGATCTGCGATTGTAAGTTGAAAAATCAGTGTGGAAGGAAGGAGGTAGGGAGTGCTGGTAGACACATTGTGGGAGGATGTGCAGCAGAAAAATGCATGCGTGAGTAAAAGGGAGAAAAGGGAGAAGCAGTAGACTGCAATGATAAAAATCATATTAAGGGCTGTCCTTTGGGGAAAATATTCAGAAATGGGCAAAAAAATCAATCTGTGCAAAGATATTTTCCCTTTGTGGGAATGAATGTGTAGGATTCATTTTCTGCATGCAATTTTAGAGTGGTTAATTAAGGAGGCAAAAGAATGTTTTATAAGCACTGCTGTGTAGAAAATGTTATTTACCATTGTCATTTTATTCCCAGGTCACAGACAGAGGACGAAGTGATAAATCCTTTTTTTATTTATGCATTTTGTGAATCTCTGTGAATTGTGAAACAAAATAGCAGATCAGCAAATAAATATACCTTCATTTTAATGGTTTTATTCTTATTTAATGTATCCTTTTCCAGACAAAAGCTTTGATGATGACGAGTCGGTGGATGGAAATAGGCCATCATCAGCTGCTTCAGCCTTTAAGGTTCCTGCACCTAAAAAGCCAGGAAATCCTTCCAACAGTACAAGAAAGCCGGGTTCGGCTGGTGGGCCTAAGGTTGGAGGTAATGTAAACCTATTCAAGTCCCTAATAGGTGTTCCCAGAAACCTTGCTAAGAGAGAGTACAGAATGGAACTTTGGGAGGTGATGTTTAATTCATGACTGCAGTATTCTTTGCAGAGCTGGAAACAGTAAGGGACCATCTTTTATGTAATTAGTTGTATGTAAAGGTGTGTGCATGTCTGTCTGGCATTTTGGATGTACATTTAGCTTATAGAGGCCTCTGATAAATGAAACTAACATCTGGAGGTGGTAATTGTGTTGGTAAAATGAGTATATGGGTGCTTCTTTGATGGAATCCACACATGACTTAATATATAAATGAATGTATTGTCAATTTCTGGAGTAGCTCTGTGTAGGTGAGATTTTTGCTCTAAGGCCTACACCATTTCACATGGCTAGAAAGGGCAAGCCATCAATTGTGTACCTCAACAGAGGTATGTAGTGCAGCTCAGTGACTTCTCTTACTCCTTAAACTGTCAAAAGTAATGTGAAAGTGGTTGTAGAAGACAAAAAAGAAGGCCAAAACACTTGCCAGATTTTTTTGCATGGTAGACTTCAAAGCAGGGTAATGATGATGCTGACTAATTGTAACTGTTGAATGTGGACATCCTCCCCCCTTCTTTTTTTTTTTTTCCTTTTTTATAGTGAGGAGGGGCAGAATCTAACAAGCAACTGTTTACTGCTCTAAAAAAAAGTAATAGCTTTTTTGATGGTTCATATACACATTCAGAAAAATACATAATTAAGTGGAAGTATACCATGCTTCAGGTATGGCATTTTATGAAAAATTGATTTTTTTATTAAGGGATTTTTTGAGTCATTTTTTTCCAGAGCCTATTCATGAAACATCCTCTTATATGAACTCCAAAGCAAAGAAAAAAATTGAACTAAGGTATGCATGCCAAACCAGCTGCCTTATGCGTTTGCTTGTCAATAAGATATAGCTCATGTTTTGACAATTTATTGCATCTCTTATGTGATCTTCAGACTTCCTGATATATTGAAAAGATTCCCATAGGGTGGGATGAACGGTGCTGTAGTACAACTTGTGCTTACAACTCAGTGAATCATGAAGCACCACTTAAAAGATTTCATAAAGGAACCTGTCTCTTGGAAGTAACTATTAGTATTTTTTGTTGTGTACCTCCTGTAAGTTAAAGCATGGTTGGTTTGTTTGTTTTTACATGCAAAATGTAGTACCAGAACTGAACACTTCGGATTCCTGTTTCAATATAATATAAGTATAATTGATATTGCCTAATATTAAGTATAGATGTTTGTTAATGAGGAATTGCTTTTACATTTGGACTTGTGAAAAACCTTTTCAATAAAAGCCTGAATGTAAGAGAACAGGGAAAGGGAAATAAGATCAGAATAAACACTTAACTGGTTAATCACTTTATCTAGAAATTTGATAGATAGAGTTAATTAAAAAAATGTTGGTTTTCCTCCCTTTCCTATATTGCCAATCTTTTAAAGATAATAAAATGGAGAAGAAAAAAAGCATGGAATAAGGACAACATTTAAGCATGCCAAAAATAGAGCATTTGGGTTGTTCCTTGCTTTATACCTTCTCCTTTCGACTTCAATATTCTTCACGAAATGTCTAGAAGGTAGAAATGTGCCTTCTGGTCTTCAGTTCAGTGCTGAAACTACTTTTGTCTAGTAACCAGCTTGCTAGCAGATAGAAATGTTAAATGTCTGCATTTAGAGGGCCTTACCCTTCTGAATAGTATTTACGAATCCTGCATCTTCTAGCCTATCAAAAAGCATTAGTGGAGGTGCCATTTTTATTTCTAAGTCAAGTTATCTTCCAGAAGTAAAGAGTTTCCTCTAACTTTATTCATATGAACAGCGGACCTAGTTTAGATTAGAGGTCTATGTATAGCCTACTACCCTGTCTGACAGGAGTCAGAATTGGTTGCTAGATGAATGCACATGAACAAGGCAAGTGTCCAGAAGCACATGGTCTTTACCAGACAAAAGCACTGGGTTTAGAGAGCTTCACTCCACAGGTAACTGTGGGCTTCAAGGAGTCCAGTTAGAGCATCTTATTGTGCTTATCTTGAGACTTCCTGGTTCTTGTTGCATGCGAACAAACCTGATCTCTTTTGTATCCACTTTCTGTCTGGGTCTGCTTTACAAGCATCTAAAGGCACACCTAAGATTTTTTTTTTCAGCCCCCAAATTACCTTCTTTGTTGGCAATCTGTGGTTCTAGCAGTTGTCTGCTCTTGCTGATTCAGTAGGGCTCTACCACATAGTGCAGCCCTGAATCCTGCTCACTACTGCATTACGAGCCTGTAAACAGTGGGGATGTTGTTGGCTCACCTTTCTCTCCTAAGCACTGGCTTCAGGTATTTCAGGACTCTAATGCTTGCTTCGCCATTCTGCCACATGCGGGTCCTGCTTACTTAAGTTGTCTCTGACTCTGTGCATGTGAGTGTGCAAGTACATGTATATATACATATCTAGAATTTACATTTCAGCCTTAGAGGAAGAAGCCACAGCAGTTCCCGTATCTGTGTTGCTTTTTTTTTTTTATTTTTAACAAAGTTCTTACAGGTCATCTCAGTGACCCGCAGCTGAAACAATCCTTCTGTGCAGATTCTTCTCTTTAAGCTTGTGTGACCAGATAGAACTGTCAGTGCAGGTGGAAATTATGCTGAGCATAGGCTGAGATTGCTAGAAGTTGATTTACTTAAAACTAGTTATTGCATTCCAGAGATCCTTTTTCCCTGATGATGTTACTTTAAAAGACATTTTTCCTCCCCTCCCCAATTCCAAAGGGAAGTGGAGGTGAGTCTGGCTTAAGGCTAAGAAAATTAAACCTAAAACTTATTAAAAGAAAATTAAACCATGTTGCTCGACTTCTTTTATGGAGATATCTCTTGAATTGGGTGTATGCTTGGCTTTTCATTACATACATTATGGAGATATTTCTTATTTAAGAAATTGATTGCTTCCCAGATGCTCTGTTTGAGTGCAATGACCCATCCAGGAAAAAAAGATTTTCAGTAATTTAAGTGCCCACCACACTGTAGGAAATACATTTTGGTGGCACTGGAAATGCAAAATCATTGTCCAGGGAAGGCAGTTGAAGCATGTATGTACATTAGCAATAGCAATGCCCTACGGGGGGATTGTATCTCCTAGAGCTAGGAATTATTATTCAAGATATCTTCCTGCCCACAGTAGGGATGGGAGGGATTGTAGACTCGTACATATGATGGCAGGTGCAATTAAGTCTGTTGAAGGTAGCTTGCCAGAAAAGTATCAGAGTGGGCAGCATTATCAGGGTACCACTCTGCATGTAAGAAATCCAGCAGTCCGTTTCTCATCTGATTTTAGTGCTTGGAGGTTTTCAGACCCTAACCTTCTTGCTTGTGAAGAATTAGAAGTATTGGATCTTCAATTTAATGGGTTAATATTTTGTCTGGCATATTTCTTATTCCATGGTTGATACACTTCCCCAAACTAGTCATTTGCCACAATATGCAGTGTCCCACACAGCTGATCTATTTATTTCTGACGCAGTTGTTTTCAGCTATTCACTGGAGTGACAGAGCCTCTCTCCAAGGCCGCCTCCTTGAGAATGCACACAGTGTGCATTCTGCACTCCAAGAAATGGATGCTCACAGGTTCTTGGCAGTATGGCATGCCATGTTTCAATTGAAAGAGACACCATTATTTAAAGTAGGAATTGGCTTAAGTTGCGTAGTTGAGTATGTTAGCCAAATGAACTATATTCTTGTCTCTGTGTTCTTCAAGATCTCTTGGAGGGCTGTGGCAGGTTTTCTTGCCAATGCGAACTCCTTTCCAAGACTTTGAGGGAATTGTTCCTTTTTTTCCTATTCAGAAGTTTTATGGTGTGTAGATGTTAACAGGAAAGCTCAGTCTGCACCTTGACAGGAAGACTAGACTCCTTTCTTTTCCCAAAATGTCAGTTTAGGTCAGCAGTGTTTAACATGGATTAAGTGTAGGAATGCTGGTATTTCAATAGAGTGGTGTGATATTTGAAAGAAAAGCTTGCTGAGTAAAAAAGAAAAATCAGGACAGGAATGTGTATTAACTTTCTATTGTATGTTTATGAGAACCTCTGTAGGGCCAGAACATATATGGAATCATATTGAATCATACAGAATGGCCTGGGTTGAAAGGGACCTTAAAGACCATCTAGTTTCAACCTTCCTGCTCTGGGCAAGGTTGATAACCACTAGAGCAAGCTGCCCAGAGTTGCATCAAGCCTGGCCTTAAATGCCTCTAGGGACAGGACATCCACAACCTGTCTGGGCAACCCATTCCAGTGACTTACCACCCTCTGAGTGAAAAACTTTTTCTTAATTTCCAACCTAAATCTCCCCTGTCTTAGTTTAAAACCATTCCCCCTTGTCCTATCACTACCAACACATGTGAACGGGCGTTCCCCCTTCTGTTCATATGCTCCCTTCAAGTACTGGAAGGCCGCAATGAGGTCTCCCCAGAGCCTTCTCTTCTCCAAGCTGAACAATCCCAGTTCCCTTAACCTTTCTGCATAGGAGAGGTGCTCCAGCCCTCTGATCATCTTAGTGGCTCTCCTCTGGACCTGTCCCAAGAGCTTCACATCCTTCTTGTGTTGGGGGCCCCAGGACTGCATGGTGGACACCATGAACCCCACATTCTAGGTGGGGTCTCAAAAGAGCAGAGTAGAGGGGGACAATCACCTCCCTCTCCCTGCTGGTCACCCCTTTTTTAATGCAGCCCAGGACATAGTTGGCCTTCTGGGCTGCAAGCACGCACTGCCAGCTCATATCCAGCTTCTCATCCATCAGGACCCCCAAGTACTTCTCCACAGGGCTGCTCTCAAGTTCTTCTCCCAGTCTATATAAATAATACCTAGGATTGCTCCAGCCCATGTGCAACACCTTGCACTTGGCCTTGTTGAACCTCATTAGGTTCTCATGGGCCCACTTCTCCAACCTGTCCATGTCCCTCTGGATGGCACCCCTTCCCTCTATTGTAT